ACTCTAAACTATAACAAAGTTATATGCACAGGGAAAATATTATTATTAACAAAATTTTGCCGGCTATAACGCTGCACTGACGCTTATACTTTATAAACGTAAACGGTTGATAATAACAATACGTTTGCAATATTAGAGAGGAGTCGCTGAAAGCTCGTGCAGGTACTTGAACAACATGAAATGGACCAACTTCAGCCTATAGATAAACGTAATAAATTTTTGACGACTTGTTTTATTGTTCCGATATATTGATTGTGTGCGGAACTTCCGTAATGGTGGAAGCGGAAGCAAACGTCTGTTGCAACAGTCATTTCAAATATTTGAAGTTTTTTTCAGTTTAGTGTGTATTGACTGGGTTTGTGGGTCTACTATTAAACACACATTTGGAACATTTATTTGGAAAATCCAGTGAAGTGGGTCAGCTAGTTCTAAATAAAAAAAGCGATTGTCCAATACACCAAATAACTTTTATAAGTAAATGGCGTTTGTAACTATAAGTACTTGAAGCATTTGAAAATGATTTTACAACTGCCAGACGCTTTTTTTTAGTATGTTTATCTATGGGTGTATTTGTTATTATTGGTTGTTAAATTTCCTAAAAGAATTTTAGCAACTAAGATGTAATAATCTTATCAGAGATAGGATTATGAAGCCCCAATTTAATTGATTATTATTTTAAAAATTTTAACGGAATTGTGGCAGTTTTTGATAAAAATGATCCCTTGGATTGCTTTTATTACTCTCATAAACAGAAATAATGGTAATTATCTACAAGACGGTCTTGAATTCAAAATTGGATGGCCTTTTATGTTGTCCGATAAGTTTTCTTGTTTTTGGAGGAATCTTTTTTGTAACAATTTTGAAATTAGTAAATTGTAAACAGTTAATTTCTATTTTAAACTAATAAATACGTCATTCCTCTAAAATTGAAGGCATATCTATGTATATATTTTTTTCCATAAAAAATTGGGCTTTTATTTCTCTAATTTCTAGGAATGATTCCTGGATTATTTTTGTACCTCTTTATCTTTATTAATTCTTTGAAATAAATTCTTAAAGAAAATAAAATTGGTTACGTCTTTTATTCAATAAAATTTCACATGTTTCTTATAGTTTTTAACTTATTTACAAAATTACATTTTTAATGTAGTTTTCCAACTCCTGCTATAGCTTGGATATATCTATTATTATATTCGCCAATTTGGTCTCATTTTGTCCTCCATTGAAAATGAAAATTTTAGCTTTTTAATTTTCATAGTTGTTACTTAAATAGCGAAATTAATGTAATCTACAACTACGTATGCTGTTAAGTACAATACGCATTCATCGTTTTATCAGAACGGTTGCATGCTATCCAAGAAGTAAGTAAATACTCCTATGAGGTAATTTAATTAAATCTACTGTAAATTTTAAAATAAATCTCCTGCAAATAGTAATTTGGATGTCAACATAACATATCTATGTACCCATAGCGTATTTTTGAATTACTACGTATTTGTAGTTATCTTATTTAAATTATGCAATATGTTTTTCTTCATTTTATTTTAGGAATTCAAAGAAGCATTGAAGGCATTGAATTGTATCTCTGGTTTTACCCAATATTGGTACCTATTAAAAAATGCTAATAAATCAGATTAGCCAAAATTTTAAAACACATTTTAATGATGAGAATGAAAGCAATTTCATGAAATAAATTAAACACTAATTATTAAGTTTCACACGAATTTAATTAAGTAATAAAATGCTAAAATTGTATAGTAATACAGTACCTACCCTCAGTAAGTGATGATATGTATTATATACTGGTTTCATTTTATATACTGTAGCGCGCACGAGCGTGTTTGTGTGCGATCGGGCATACGTGTGTGTGAGCGGCTTATCGATCCGCCGACTAGCCGCGGGCGCCTTTCTTCATGTGCGCCATATCTGTAAACGTGTGTATCGTGCCTGCTTTCCGGGAAAGCAATTATACAGTTCAAAGAAGACGAGACTTTTCGGGACGGCTCGAGAAAGTTCCAGAAAGGACACAAAAGAGTATATAAAGGAAGAGACGATCGCCGAGAGAGTAGAGTGGAAATAAATTGACCGTTGCAGAAGTGAATTAAGAAATAAATTGACAGTGATAGAAGTGAGATAAATAGAACAGTGAATAGTACAGTAGTGTAAATAAATAGAATAATTATCTAAGTTTAGTAATAATGTAATAGTGTTTTTAAGTCCGTTAATAATAATTACTGTAAATAAATAGTTTTTGTCGTTGTGAGTCTTAAAAGTTAATTTGTTAAATCCACGAACATTACAATACTATAGATTTTTGAGAAGGAAATATATAAGGAGGCGAAGGAGACAATGGACACTGGGCGGCGCAAATGTAGGGGCTGCAAAAATGTTTTTTTTTTCTGTATTAGGTAGTCAGGTCCGCCTCACAGTAATGGGTTAATGCACATTCATCTGCTCGCCGCAACGGGGTCGCGCGTCCAGATCGCGGCCGTTTTGAGCCGCAGGTCCCTACGGAACCGTGCAGGTACCGCTGACGCAACTGCGGTTCTGTAGTACTCGTTTGTATATCGGTTGGTGCACACTTGCGGCAAATTGACACAAAAAAAGATGGCTGCCACTAGAACTTCTGAAGATTTGGATATAGAATTATCCATTGATACAGTAAAAGGATTCCCACAGATATGGTATATTTCCTCAGAAATATACCGTGAAAGAGTCAAAAAAGGTCTGCATGGATTAAAATCTGTGAACTGTTCTCCGAAAAATGAACCGCTACCCAAATACCTGCAATAATAGAACAGTATCGATTTGTTTTTAATTTTAGGCAACAAAAAGATGGAAAAATATCAAAGATAGCTATGCGAAAAATGTAAAACAGAAGACAAAATCTGGACAGGCGACTGATTCAGGACGGACATTCATATATGTACGACAATTATCCTTCCTCCAGAAAAGTATAGCCTCTTCAGAAACTCAATGCAGCCTCCACAAGAATGAAATGGAGTATGAAGAAAGGCGTTTAGAAGGAAGGCCATTAGAAGAAATATTCGAAGAACCAGGTTTCGAGCTGTCGTCAATTCGATGAACAGCAGCGGCCAAAACAAAGAAAAACTGGCAAAGGGACTCTTGAAGAAGCGTTAATAAATTTCATCAACACCCCTCCGCAAATCTCCCAACCACAACAGGTGGTTATCAATCCCGATCGGGCATTTTTTGAAAGTCTATTGCCTTCTGTTTCACATTTCACCGAAGACCAAAAGTTGGAATTTCGTTGCGAGATGTTGAGCACCATTAAAAGAATCAATGGGGTTATGTAGATTCTTAATTTGGTATTGTATGATCTTATCCTGTCAGAAACTTTTGGTGTTCATCATATGAAGCAACGCTCATTCAAAAATAGATGAAACATTTGTCGGAATTTTCCATTATTTCCGAAAACGACGTTAGAAATTTGCCCCTTGTAAGCCGTAAGTCTCATGTGTTTCTTTTCAATCAATTTGTACACCAAGGACGTAAAAACTGCACGCCTTTCCTTAATAAAAATTCTCCATCTTTCACTACTCAACTTGTCGCATTGACTGATTTTTATTAAAACCGAATGACACTGTATTAAATATATATTTTTATTATTTTTGCGGCGCGGCAACAAAACCGCAGAAATACCAGCAAGTATGCAGCAAACCCGCGGCGGCAAACTGCTGCGTATGCACCGTCACTTACACTCGAATCAAGACAACATTAGTTTATCTACTGGTCGCGAAAACCTTTAGTAATTTGTTAAAAGTGGAACATCGCTAACCGTTAACTGATCATTTGATACTATCTTCTATTTACTAGAAACAGTTACCAATTAATTTCTAAAATCTCAAACGATTCACTTTATGTTTATATAGTTGAGACTGAACACATGGAAAGTATCTACATTAAAAACTTAACCACAACTCGGACACGCGTTTTCCTAGCATTGTTACAACTTTCAGTGCAAGAGCCGTTGGGGTTACTTCATTTCTTAAGCCCTTAAGCCACTCCTGTCTGTGCGGCAGTTAATATTTTTTGAAGTGAAACTTCTTTGGGCTCGATGAGAGTAAAACCTCAAGGTCATGAAACGACACGTTTTGCAACGTTTTGTCTCGCGAAGCTATATGCTATGAGAATGGAAAGGCGCGCATGTGCATACGGGTATTACTGTCAGCTATTAGTGACTGGCATCTCATACATTATAGTATAATATTATTCGCTATACTATACTGCTAAAGTAATTTTTGGGTTATATGTGTGAAGTTATATTACAGTAAATGTTTATTTAGCAACAATAACTTTTAACAATTAATATTTATTTAAGAGTAAGTCTTATTATTTATTTATTCTAATTCCTTGTAGTTATTGATGGTTAACAGTTTCTTAAGAACTTGGAAAAATAAACGGAAGCGAAAAAAGTAGACCATTGTTTTGCTACTGAATTTTATAAAAACGTACCACCGATCATCGAGCGAGAACTAAACAAAAGTGTACAGTACCATTTGCAAAATTATTTAAACTGCCTCGTTAAAATTTAAGAATATGCTTTATTTAAAAGCATATTTAGCCAAAAATAATAACAAGTGAATTAACTTAACGCTCTACACATCTGTAAAGCTTTTGCTTTGTTTTTTTTTTGTTAATTTATATACATTTTTGTTTTAAGAAATTGCTAAACATTTTCGTCTAGTACTGTACAGTTCTAGCCGATCTTCTAAGACTGCCCATCGAGAGTTCTGTTCGTTCAAGCTTGTTCCAATTATTTCTGTCTTGTTCACGCCTAGTGTGTATTCTTTCTATCTTCGCGCAGATTTCTTCAAGGTCACAATTCTAACAAATTGAAATGGACTGTAATACTCCTAAGATGGACTTAAGATAAAATATGTTGGAAAACATAAATCTTGAAAATTCTCGTACTTTCCTTTTCACTTCTTTCACTGAGTTGCACCTGTTTGTCTTTTTTTTTATTTAAACAAAATTAAAACTAATTATATATTTATTAATCAGTCTTTGGTTACAGCACTGTACAGCGTTAAAACTACAGTACATCCATACAAACGTAAACATTTTACATGCTTATTAACAATTTAAATTAAGTAATTACATCTATTTACACAATCCTTACTATTAAACATAAATTTTGATGATTAATCCTGATGTTTGCATTGTGGTTCTCAATGTGTAATTTATATATCATAGGTGATAGATTTGTACGTGTACATAATAATTTGGGATAAGAACGAAAAGACGACATAATTTGTTGTTCTAAATAGAAAGAAGGTGATTCATAAAAATGAAAGTACAGAAGTCGTTCCAGTCGACAGATCAGGTATAAATATGTTTTTTTCTGTAAATAGATACTGCGATAATTGGGACTGGTTAAGTAACCGGGCGAATGGAGGGAGGGATACCAAAACCTTTCCCCTGCTAGAGGGAGGTGCGGAAACTGACTTTGAAAAATAAAAAGACCAAATTTTGACCCCATTCCATAAAGTGAGGAAATCAGAAAAACTTTTCTCCACCGTAATCGAACTTACGTAACCACATACCCCAGAATCTTTTAATTTAAATATTTTATTTTAATCTCCCCCTCCCTCTCCGGCCTGCTTCTCCTCTCGCATCCCTTTCATACCTCAATATATTATTTATGCATTAGAAAAAGCAAATTTTTTTGAAAACCCTTACATCTCGTCCGCCTCCGAACCAGTTTCTTCTATCTGTCGAAGGTTACTAAATTCAGTCCCTAAAATATAACCTTGTGAACCAAGGGAAGTGTTTAATTAAATTCGTGATTACTGAACAATTTGTTTTTCCAACTGATACGTTTATAACAGAGATTTTATATATCTTACTCATTTGTAATGAGTCAGAAGAGAAAACAAGTACTTTTATCTGCTAATTGCCCAAAAGTCTTTATAAATCAAACACATCTTTGGAATCTGGAATAGCTTCGATCGTTATATTTAATGCTATTATTTCAGTATGATTTCAACTTTCTTTAAATTTTCTTTGTCTCAGGAAGTTCTAAGTCGTTAGTTATTACCTGAGAAGGATTGCAAAAGATCTCTAAATGCTAATTTTGGTTTACTTACTAATATTCGCTGAGTAGCGTTTTCAGGTTTCTGATTTAATATTCCTAGTTAAATATTGTAGTAATGTTAAATTTTTAATAAGTGAATTCAATTACCAAAACCTGAATCTGATTTACTTGTCTTTACTCTTTGCCCATACTCGAAGTTGCATTTCTAAATGTTATCAAGTTTTGACTGCTGAATAAGCACAAAGAAGAAGTTGAGAACCTATAATGATTATTTGATATTCTTATCTTCAATTCGTGTTTCCATTTGATGTTTAAATTCCAAAAGCCAGCTTTCTATTTTTGTGACAGCGACTGTTCCCTTTTTGTACCTTTTTCAGTATCGTCGTTCTTTTTCTCATTCCACCACTGAATTTCGGCACTTCCGAGTATTACGTAAACGATGTTGGTGCTAATCGTCACAGCGAAAATCATCCAGAAAACTATCCGCCATTGTGAAAGTGTTTGCTGTTAAAGGAAACACATACATTTAAAAGAATAAAAAATTAATTTTAATTTAGGTATTATAAACCATTAAATGGTACCAAATTAATGAAAACAGTGCTCTCTTCTATCTATAATTAATTGAATGTAAACAACGGGGCGCCAAAGTTCAAAAGCATATACCTAAAAATTGTGGTTGTTTTTTAAAAAGTGCTGTTGGACCAACCAGACGTGGCCCCTCAGATTGTATGCCTACAGATTCGCATTGGACGATCGCTACTCTGTGTTAAGGTAAATCATTTAACTTCAGCTTCTCTTTGAGCTAAGAACTCAATGCCAGCTGGCCCGGTTGTAATTTATCATCATGAAAAAGGATAACCAACAACGGCGAGTTGAGTGATGAAATTACGGAAAAAAACGCATTTGACGAAAAAGGAAATGTTACTCTATCACGACAATGCGCCTGTTCATACACAATTATTGTAGTGGCCAAAATCAATGATTGAAAGTATGAATTACTTCCTCATGCACCCTATTCTCCAGATTTAACTCCCTCGGACTATTTTCTTTCTCCAAACTTGAAAAAATGACTCCATGATAAATGATTTACCAACGATGAAAAGTAGATTGCTATTTTCTTAGTAAAAACAAGTTAAAGAAACTATTGAATATTGCCGAGAATAGTGTATCGAGCTAAAAAGGGACTATGTTGAGAAATAACTAGCTTTTGCCAAATTTTTTGTTTTCTTTGTCAGGCCGATTAATTCTAGGCCCTCGTATATATCAATATTGTTACTGACCGCGGTGAGTACTTCATGAGAGGAGAGTGTTATGACTTCTGAAATCGAAGGCAAAACATCTGTGAAGATGAAAGAACGCAATTAGACGCTCAGATCTGCGTCGAAAAAGAAACATTTGAGTGTTTCATTCCCACTAGCAACTAATGCTTGTGGGGCAGGGCGGAAGGCCCTCTTCAGACTCCTTTCAGAAATCGTGGAAATGGGTGGGTGAGAAAGATGAGACGGACGAAATGAAGAGAGAAGAGAACGAAAGATTACCCTAGGTGATCCAAGGAAACCACAGAAAAACTCGGACCGAGGCAGACGGACTCGGAATAGAACTGACGTCCTCCCCAATGCTAAGCAATGGTCTAAACCTAGACCTCTAGGCCATGCCGCTCGGTCGATAAAAAACTTTTGGGTGTTTCATTTCCACCAGCCAGTAATGCTGGTGGGCGGGCAGTCCCTCCGGACTATGCCGGAAGGTAGGGCGGAAGGCCCTCTTCAGCCTGCTTTCAGGAATCGTGGGAATGGGTGGGTGGTAGTTCGGGTGAGAAAGTTGAGACGGACGAAATGAAGACAGAAGAGAAGGAAAGATTATCTGTGGAATATTACTGCCTCAGCATTTGCCTAAGTGATCCAAGGAAACCACAGAAAAACTTGGACCAATGCAGACGGACAGACCCGGAATCGAACCGGCGTCCTCCCGAATGCTAAGCAATGGTCTAGACCTCTAGGCCTTGCCGCTCGGTCGATGGTTCGGGCGAACATTTATAGAATTTTTCAGAGGTGGAGTATTACCCTCAATTATAACCAGCCAGATCGCAAATATCCGAAAAAGGAGGTATCGTCCCAAGAAAAAAAAAGAAGAAGAATGTGAAGGTTCTAATTAATATTTTCTCAGCGCTATCGACTTTTATTACTTGTGCCACGGTAAAGCGTAATTCGTATAATGGAAATTCAATTTGTTGTGAAAAGTTCTGACAAAATCACACAACCATATTTCGCGAACACTACAAAAAATTATAATTACGAAAGCTTCGGTGCAAACCAACCACTTTATTCACCACAGCGGCCCATTAGTCAGCGAGAAACGGTAAATTATGAAAAAAAATATTAAGGTGAACATTTTGATTTTATCGTACTCCAATTAAAACATTTACGATGATTAACTTAACACAAAAGAATTTTGTTATATCAAAAATACTGTAAAAAAGTATGATTCGTTTGAAAAACGGCGAAATCACAATAGAATTCCAAAAACTATCAGACAATTTTTGTCTATCTCTGTATATGTTCGAAATACTGAGTTGTAGTGTTTGAAGGGAACTTTTAACTTTACAGGATCACCTAGCACTATATTTAACTAATAAAGTGAAGAAAAGTTTCTGGAATGAGTAATAAAATATCATTGTAGGTACATACATCGGGAGTCAAGAGACCGATCAAATATGGCGTTACAATGCCACTTATAGCTCCTACACCATTTGTGATGGCCATCAGAACACCAGCAAAATTGGGAGAAAGATCTAATACATTCACTTTCATGCTGCAGTAGTAAGCACCCATAAAGCCCATACCAATGGTAAAGAAAGCCACCGTTAAAGTCCTGTTGCATCCTGCGTACGAAGCCAAAACCACGAATATCGCTGGTCCAGCAGAAGCTATAGTCGGAAAAAATGTGCATATTTAATAACTTTTAAGATTACGATTATTATTTACTAACAAATAAAGTCAAATTGATATTGAAGTACAGTAATATAGTAAATTGGTGGTCGAAACCTTAATTTTCTGTCTTGCTCTCTTCCGGAGTTAACGTGCCATTTTTGAAAATATCACCACTGTTATTTTAACGGAAAATACGTAATAGGTGACTCTAAATTAACAAAGAGAACTAAAAAAGACAATTAAAGTGAGGATGTCGGTAGAAAAATACTTGTGAACAAAACGATGAGCTGATGTTGTTGCATTTATTAATTCTCAAATTTTCGCCAATATTCTTGGCTTCCTCAGGAGATCACTAAGAAAATATATAATTAAGAAGTTTCCATTTTTGAAAACTATGGAAATAAAATATAAATATATAAAAATATCCGCGAATTTTGAGACCTCTTTGCCATTGGGCCCGCAGAACTTTTGTTCTATAAGAGATATGAAAGAAAGCCATCAATACTTTTTTTGCAAAATGGCATTGTGAAAAACATTTAATGAAACCTTTTTTCCATATCTTTCATATTTCGCAAGATAATCGAATTTGCAATGGTTTTTGCGGATTTCCCCCCCCCCCCCATGCCGGGCAAATAATTTTCATTTACATATTCTTGTTCCTGACGAAATTTCCGATAAAATGATCCGTGTTTTAATAATTTTCTCCATTATAAAGTACTCTTCAGTCATTTTCCTCATTTGACTGAACTATTATTTAAAAACAGCGATACATAAGTCATTTTAAATCTCGTTTAAAGAAATTGGAGACTGTGGTAAATGACCAATTAAACTAAAAAGAATTCGATTTGATAACGAAAAACGTGTCTGCAATAATCAATCTATAGTGGTAATTTAGGCGCTTCTCTTTTTAGGTTATGTAAGTACTAGACATCAAAAAAAATACACTCACCTATTGTAGTAAAGAATTTTCTAGATACTGCAACCGACATATAGCTTTTATTAACCACAAAATCGCATATCGTTCCGAAAACTAACGACAAGAGCCACATTACTAAATAAGGCAGGGCTGATAAAAGACCATTTTGTGAAACGCTAAAGTGTAAAACGCTTCTCATATAGGTAGGAAGGTCAGTAACCATAGCAAACAGAATCCAGTCGTGTCCAATCTGGCAAATAACTAGTCCCCATAATGGCACGGACCGTAGAATAGGCTTCCATGGAATTGGGAGCTTCTCTTTTGATACACCCTCTGGAATCATTGATAAAACAAGGACTTACTAAATTGGATTATTGAATTGTCATATACATATAATTGTAGCGACCAACATCAACAAAAACACTCTGTACATATATATTGTCGTTGTGTAAATATGTAAATCTTTTGTGTGTAAATATTTCTCAACATTATTTTTTGAAGATTGACCGCATGACTTCTGTACTTCGCTGTACTTCCTAATTACTATTTTATGAGGGGTTTCTTCGATAATTTGAGTTCAACAACTTAATTCTATATTTTCTATATTCGGAATTTTTCAAATCATATTCTCTTACTATTGGTTCCCTTTTTTTATCTACAACCCTTAGCTCCACCTATGTAATTTTCCTAAAGTATTCAAATTCAAAATTTTTCAGTTCTAAATCGGCCTTTGTTTACCTACTTTACTCTTGTTACTCTCTAACAGTGTCTAATAAATATTTGTTTTACCAAATTTTATTATTATCAAATCGAACACGCGTAGAACCAAATAATAATTGTAGAAAACTGGCAAAAGATAAGTGAAATTGTCGTACAGGCGGTCAATTTAAATTAAAACGTTTAATTAAGAGATGCTGGAGTTGCTCAGGTGTATTTTGGATAACCAGGATATTTAACTTAACTTTTTAATTTAAGATTGTTAATTTAATTCCGGTTGGAGCAAAAAAAAATGGATAAAAGTGCGTGGGTTTAAGTATCTATATTGAGATGTACAATTGGTTGCATACCCATACAGTAATCTAGAGAGGGGACATAACCCATAACTATTAAATTTTTAATGGTTTACCATTAAAGTATAAAATTATTGAAAAATATGTCAAAATTTAAATGTTAATGTTCGTTTCAGTAAGTCGCCCCTGTAAAGGCATCGTCAAACACTATGAAATACAACAGTCATTAAAGAGTAATATCCTCAGATTGCGACATGCCATGACTCCAGATTAATTATCTTGGAAACAGAAAGACACACTTCAGTTTAACATGATGATACAAAGAATATCTAAAAATATATGATAGGTGTGACGTTTGAGTTCTAAATTCGTAGAAGTCTGCGCATGACATCACCTTGTGAGGTTTGTATAGTGAGTTTCTAAATCTCTATCTGGACGTACGAAAGAGTGTTTGAACAGTCATGGTACTCATACAAACCATTGTCTCATACTAGGCGATGCGTTGTAGTTTTCTTTATTTTCTTATCAATTTAAATGATAAATTAGAACAAAAAGGATGAAAATGTAATAATTAATGAAACTATTGTCAGTTGAGTTTCGCTTAGCTATGTTTCGAAAATATGGTAGTATGTCATCATCTACGTATGTTAGTTAACCTGTTAGTTGTGGCATTTCATTGTGATCATGGTCAAAACGCTCACATAATAAATCACTTACCCAATTTATTGTCCAAGTACTTCTTTTCTTCGTCAGATATGAAAGGATGTTGACCAGGACTTGAGTATACAAGAACACAGTAGAGTACGAACCATATTACTCCTAAGCCGCCGAAAAAGTAAAATACCGTGGTCCAAGTTTCTGTTTTTTCGATTAATATTCCACTGAGAGCGTTACCAAATACCGATCCTGAAATGAATTATTGTTAATTTCTATATAAGTCATTTCCTTTGACAATAAATTGATATTCTCACCCAACTGACTGCCGGCAAAAATAAGAGATCCCAGTCGACCTCGTTCTTCAAGAGGAACCCATTTGGCAATGAGTGCTGTAAGTGCTGGAAATGTGACACCCTGAAAGAAATACAGAATTACAAAATTGTGGCTGTTATTCCATCCTCATCATCATGACTTCGTCAATCCTAAGACTGGTTGGACACGCACCTATACTCTTTCCTATCCTGAGCTAAAATTTGCATTTCCGTAAAACTAGAACAACCCTATCCTATCCAATCCATCCTTAACTATTTGCAAATAGTAATCTAATTTAGATCTACCTCTACTCCTCTTAACTCCTGTTACCCCAAAAGACTTTTATTTTATAATTCAGTGAATAGATTCAAGTAACTAGGTACTTACTTCTCCTAATCCAACACATACTCTTGCAATAATGAGCCATTGCCAACCTCCTGCCAACGTAATTAGTGGTGTAAAGAGTGTGAAAAGAGCAGTTATGAGCATGCCTATCCCTAGAGTTTGTTTGGCTCCAAATTTCTCTGTCAGGAAGGCACCAGGTATGTGAGTGGCAACGTAGCCCCAATAAAATGCACTTAAAATTAACCCCTGCGTTGCTTCATTCCAGTCAAAAAGTAAATCGGGATTCTATAAAAAAGAAAATAGTATCTATCAATTGTGTTAGAGACACAACTTGAATATGCATCTGAATTAAAATAAGGTTTGAGTAGTCATTAGTCAAACATTGGTAGATACAGATAATTATATTGATGGCAGCGGTTCAGTTTCATCATAAATACAGTACTGTTGCTTGCTTATACTTTTCCTTTACTGACTCACACAATGTGAAATTGCGCTTTATTTAGGGCATCAAAGAAATGCAGGCGGAATTCACCAGAGATTTTAAATCTAGAAATCAATAATCCAGATTCAATGATTTGTTTCATGAAAGAATTTTACTCTACACTTTCTCTACGTGGTAATTAGAAGAAAAATCGTAGAAACTTTAAGATCTGTTTTTGTTTGCGAATAATTTCTCTGCAACTGTAATCATGCATTGTTAGCGAAGTTACTTTTAACAAGTCAAAAACAAATTTGAAAACCAGTAGGTTCTTCAGGCTTCAGGCCTCAGCCGTATAACGAAATAGTGTTACAGTCCATTTCAATTTGTTAGAATTGTGACCTTGAAGAAATCTGCGCGAAGATAGAAAGAATACACACTAGGTGTGAGCAAGACAGAAATAGTTGGAACAAGCTTGAACGAGCAGAGCTCTCGATGGGCTGTCTTAGGAGATCGGCTAGAACTGTACAGTACTAGACGAAAATGTTAAGCAATTTCTTAAAATGTATATAAATTAACAATAGAAAACAAATAGAACGTTAAGTTAATTCACTTGTTATTATTTTTGGCTAAATGTGCTTTTAAATAAAGCATATTCTTAAATTTTAACGAGGCAGTTTAAATAATTTTGCAAATGGTACTGTACACTTTTGTCTAGTTCTCGTTAGATGATGGGTGGAGAAATGAACTCCGCAGACAAATATGATTGAATTTGGAATTATGCTACGGCGCATCCTAATAAAGGGAAGGGGCATATCTCTAACTTCATGAAACGAACAGTAAGTACGTGTTTGGGGAAGCACTTTCTAACACTGGCCGATCATTTTCTAGAGCTCGACGTACTCTAATTCATCAATTCGCAATTTTTCTTTTCTACTGAACCCATTCTGACTCACCCTTTTAAACCCCATCTCGATAAAGCAGTAAACTGATAAAAGTTTTATGTTTAAAAATAAGACCCCAGTCACCTTACTGTGTACATGCTGAACTCAAAGCTTTATTGTACGTATATATTTAAAATGTACATTTCTACTAATAATAGCAAGTGTCAATTAAAAGTGGGTGCAATGTCCGTCAATTTGAATTTGCTTTTATTGTAGATGTAAACAGAAAAGCTCGCCTGTAATCTATAAGGCGATACAAATCGAAACAGGAACCTCCTCAATGACTGCAGCGTATTCATCTTTAATCGTAAGTTCAATCCAAAGGTCATTCAAATTTGAATCATTCGACTTGAATTTTTGTTTTAGATAGGATCAATTCTTAATATAAAACAAATTCTCAGACGCCAAATTTGTTTTTTATCGTATTTTGTCTTTTGCTGTAAACATACGTAGTTGTGGTTATTCACTTTAAGGACTTGCCGATGTTGAGTTTATCGAATATATCCATTGAATAAGCCATTTTCATTATCCATTTCTCGACATGCATTATAGTTCGACATGACATACGTACGTAAAAATTGGTTGCCCAATTCTTGTTCCATATTCTGTGCGTAAAAGAGATGATTTATGCTCACTTGCCATATCTTCAGATGCTTTTTTAAAAAGCCTTGATTGCAATGCATCTGTTACTAATGGCATTCAATAGCTACATTTAATTGATTAATAGATTGCGATAAATATCTAAATAAATAAATGAGTCACACTGCTTTGTATACGCGCATATTAAATAAACGTACAAAATAACCGAGAAAATGGAAACGAACCAATATACAATTGTGTCCAATTTATTGTACGAGGGTGGATTGATAAGTTTCCGGCCTGACCAAGAAAAACAAGGTTTTTAAAAATTTTTTTTTTTTATTTCTCAACATAATCTCCTCCAAGGCTGATACATTTCTCATAGCGGTGTTCCAGTCTATTAATGCCATCTCTATAGACTGATTCGTCAAGCTCCTCAAAATAACCATTTACAGCTTCGATTACTTCTTCATTGTCCGCAAATCTCTTACCGCCAAGCCATTTTTTGAGATTAGGGAACAGAAAATAGTCACTCGGGGCTAGGTCTGGAGAGTAAGGAGGGTGCGGCATCAATTCAAACTTTAGATCGTTGATTTTAGCCGTCGCAACGATTGACGTGTGCGCTGGTGCGTTATCGTGATGAAACAAGATTTTTTTCTTCGCCAGATGAGGTCGTTTAATTTTCACCTCGTGGCTCAAACGTTGCAATAAGTCTGCGTAGTATTGACCAGTGATAGTATTACCCTTTGCAAGGTAATCAATGTATATAATACCTCTTGCATCCCAAAAAACAGTAGCCATAACCTTGTTCGCCGAAAAAATTGTTTTTGCCTTCTTTGGAGTTGGTTCCCCTGGTCCAATCCACTGTTTAGACTGTTCTTTGGTTTCAGGAGTGTAGTGGTGGACCCACGTTTCGTCAACGGTTACGAATCGACGCAAAAATTCGCTTGGATTACGCTTATACAATGACAAATTTGCGGTAGAAATGTTTTTTCGAATCAATTTTTGGTCGACTGTTAGCAAACGCGGCACCCATCTTGCACAGAGCTTTTCCATATGCAAATGTTGGTGCAAAATATGTTGCACACGTTCATATGACATCTTACAGGTCTCAGCTATCTCACGCACTTTCAATCTGCGGTCTCCCAGCACTATTTGATGAATTTTTTCGATCATATCTGGAGTTGTGACCTCAACGGGGCGTCCTGAGCGAGGCCCATCAGAGGTGCTCACACGACCCTTTTTAAACTCGGAAACCCACTGCTTAACGGTTGAATATGACGGGGAGGATGTCCCCAGTGTTGAGTCCATCTCTTTTTTAATTTCCTTCGGCGTTAACCCCTTCAAATAAAAGTATTTGATGACAGCACGATTTTCCTGCTTTTCCATTTTTACGAAAACCACAGAGGCGTCTTGTTCAGCGTGCTGTCAAACCTACACTAGCAAGGAGATCGGGCTGAAACTATAGCTACAAGCTATCCAAGGATGGTACTATAGAATGTCACCTCAAGGTAGGCCTAGTGGCGTCATCTCTTGGTTAGGCCGGAAACTTATCAATCCACCCTCGTATCAACGTAAGACACAAAAATAGCGGTACTTTCCCTATCATAAAATGAACCGTTAGGGGTTGACCGTTTATTACTGATTTGGTCATACAGAATAATTGCTTTTCCCAGAATGTTCTATATTTTTATTAGGACAAACAACATATCTCGCGGAACCTTTGTGACCCTTCCACGGAACACCATTTGGGAACCACTGTTCTAATTTATGCAGTTAATCCATATAAATTTGGGATCATTATATAGATAATCTTATAATGAGTTAGAAATATTTTTAATTGAAATAGTTATTGAATAAGTTTTTTATTATGTTGCAGTCTACTACTGCTACTGTATACCATCTTGATTACTCATATAATATTACATCAGCGAGCGCATACTATAATATTTGATATCGTTGATAATGTAATTGCAGTACCTACATTATTAATTTAATGCTACCAGACGACAGGATCAATAATATAATCACTTGATGATTGCGGCAAATCTAGGATGGCGCTAATGCGTCAACGAAATCGTTTCGTTTTCTCATAAGTGACAACAAGGTGTCAAAAGTCGTAAAATAGTGATAAAAAGCATAAATAAAAGAAGCTGTTAATATGTAAAATAATTTAAAGGAAATAAGCACAGTGCGATTAATTTGATTCTATTTGTCTTCATTGGATTGTAAAATATATCCTCTCAGTGTGTACTCCTTCTGGGTCTTTGTTTTCTCTTCTTCTATCATTTTTCTGACTCTTTTTTTCTTTATTTTTCATCCTGAATTATTTCTTTTGAAGTTTTATCTACTATTTTGTATGTTACTATGTCCTTATATAATTCATCTTCATCATTGTATGTTCTTGCCATAATTAAACTTTGATAAGTCCGGCATCACATTACAGTTTTTCACTTCTTGTGAGGTTTGGTTATGCATTGTATTCATTATCGTGCATTTTGCTGTAATAAAGTGGTCATTGTCTGCAACAGAACGTTCATATTAACGTTTAGATCTGGTTGTGGATTATGTACGTTATTGTGTTCTTCCACTATAACTTCTGTCAATCTCTCGAATTCTTCGGCATCACGATTAACGTTTGGTTCTGGTTCTGGTTGAGGATTACGCACGTTATTTAGTGATTCCACATTAACTTGTTGTGGTTTTTTCTCAAAATATTCGGCATCATGATTAACGTCTGGTTCTTGTTCTAGTTTTGGATTATGTACGTTATTGAGTTCTTCCACAATAAATTCTTGTGTCCATATCTCAAATTCTTCAGCATCTTGATTAACGTTTAGTTCTGGTTCTGGTTCTGGTTGTGGATTACGTAAGTTATTGAGTTCTTCCACATTAACTTGTTGTGTCAATCTCTTATATTCCTCGGTATAATGATTAACGTTTGGTTCTGGTTCTGGTTGTGTATTACGCACGTTATTTAGTTATTCCACATTAACTTGTTGTGGTTTTTTCTCAAAATAATCGGCATCATGATTAACGTCTGGTTCTTGTTCTGGTTTTGGATTACGTACGTTATTGAGTTCTTCCACAATAAATTCTTGTGTCCATATCTCAAATTCTTTGGCATCTTGATTAACGTTTGGTTCTGGTTGTGGATTATGTACATTATTGAGTCCTTCCACATTAACTTGTTGTGACAATCTCTCAAATTATTCGGCACCATGATTAACATTTAGTTTTGGTTGTGGATTATGTACGTTATTGTGTTCTTAAACATTAACTTGTGCAAATCTCTCAGAAATAGTCGGCACCATGATTTCTAGTCATTTTTGAAACAAGAATAATACTTACGAAAAGTCAGTGGTAAATTCTAATAGAAGGTTTTACAAAACATTTTTTTTTGTATAATACACACACACTAAACATGCAATCTTTATGTAGTACATATACATATGTGCTGACTGTAGGGTTTTTAATTTTTAAAATTACCGTCACTGCTTGAGACGAAGACGACGAGGATGATTCACCGCTGCATGTATCGTCTGAAGATGAGGTACTATTCCTAGCTACCGTTACCACCATTTCCGTTATTGCTATTGACATTGTCCCTCTCATGGTATAGGAGTTGAGAATAGCCAAAAAACCAAAAATGGACATGACAACCCTTTGGGGAATGAAGAATACTGAAAAGGAAAAGAACAAATTACATTTAAATCATAAAATTAATTCTTTTGAATTGAAATATCAACAATTTTGTCTTTACTTATAATTAGTTAGAGCTACACGGGGGTGTAATCCAATACTTGGTTAATATTTCAGTATCTATTAATTCTATGGCATTAAGTTTTCATTAACGGTAGGGAAATTTTATTATTTTTAAAATGTATTACTTATATGAATAAGTTATTAGTTCCATTAATTTGTATGTAAGGAATATCATAAGATGATATTGAAAGTAGGTAGAAATGCAAATATTTCAATTAAACCAACTAAAACACCTTAATCCAAATTTCCACACTGAATGTTACACGTTGATACAATACCGTATTACGCCAGTATATTGTCATCTATTGATATTTACTATTGACTGAAGTATTTATGAAGAAATGATTCCTCTCAGTATTGAAATTACAAATGCTTAAAAATAATAATAGAGAGTATCATAATTCATTTAGAGAAATTCGAAAAAGGTTGTTAAAGGTGTATGTTTGGAGCGTGGCGTTGTACGGGTGCGAAACATGGACAGTGGGCCTAGAGGAAAAGAAAAGGTTAGAAATGAAGAGGTATTAGAAAGAAAAGGAGAACAGAGGACTCTATGGAAGTCAATAAAAAATAGGCGAGATAGGTTGATAGGACAGCTTCTCAGCCATGAAGGTCTAGTCAGAGACATATTAGAGGCAAAAACAGGAGCTAGGAGGGGTAGAGGTAGACCTAGGTTAGATTACTGTTCGCAGATAGTTAAGGATGTGGGTTGTTCTAGTTTTAGGGAAATACAAAGATTAGCTCAGAATAGGAAAGAGTGGAGGTACGTGTCCAACTAGTTTTAGGACTGACGACCTTATGATGATGATGAATTCATCTGGTTGGTTGGTTCTCAGGACGACTGCATCTTTTAATTTGATCCAAAAACAATCCAGAAAATTCATTCTTATGACTCTATTTATAGATAAACATTTTAAGGATTTGCTTTTATAGCCTTAAATGCAAATAATTGTCTGGTTAAAATAATTTATACCACTCATGCAGAATTAATTACTTTATTAAATAAAACTAATAATACTCTATTTGCATACCTATCAAAACAATTCCAGTAATAGTTCTATTATAATTACAAATGCGCTGCTAATTATGGCGTATATTTGTTTGTTCATGTTTTTTGTCGTTATTAGTTATAAAAAAAGTGCTTGGAATTTCTGTTTTACTTTATGCAATCTTTCAAAGAAGTTCGAAAAAGTGTTAATTCCAGAACAAAGGAAGGAGTGGAGGTGCGTGTCTAGCCAGTCTTTGGATTGATGACCTTGTGTCGATAATAATTACTGTATTACACAGTTCGTTCAAAAAGTTCCGGAAATACTATGGTACCTACAAGACATAACCAGTGCCATTTGTTATCTTACAGCCGAACTACCTTTCTCGTAACGCTCTTTAGTTCCCTTACTTCAGACTTCGGCGCTTGAACATCATTTAGAGGTCAATTGTGTTTTTGTGGAACAATGTCCAACACTCAAATTTTGTTTCAAATTGGAATAATTAGTTTGAATACATTTGAGTCTATAAAAACCGCATATGGTAAGATTTATAGCAGTATTAGCATCTAGCAAGGACTACTTAAAGATAGCTTTAAATAAAATAGAAGCGGTACTGACAGATCCGTATTGTATGAAAATAAATAAAAGTAAAACTAAAATACTGGTATGCAAGGGAAGAAAAAGTAGGAAAAGAGCGAATACAAAGATAGGAGACGAAAAATTAGAAGAAGTGGCTGATTTTAGATATCTAGGAATTTAGATAAGTCAGGACGGAAGGAGTAGTAGGGATATAAATCAGAGGATAGCGCAGGGTCGTAAATTCGAAAAAGGTTGTTAAAGGTGTATGTTTGGAGTGTGGCGTTGTAAGGATGCGAAACATGGATAGTGGGCGCGGCGAAAAAGAATAGGTTAGAAGCTTTCCAAACGTGGTGTTATAGGCGAATGATGAGGATAGCGTGGGTAGAAAAGGTTGAAAATTAAGAGGTATTAGAAAGAATAGGAGAATAGAGGACGCTATGGAAGTCAATACAAAATAGGCGAGACAGGTTGATGGGACACCTCAGGCATGAAGGTCTAGTCAGAGGCGTATTAGAGGCAGAAACAGGAGTTAGGAGGGGTAGAGGTAGACCTAGGTTAGATTACTGTGGGTTGTTCTAGTTTTAGGGAGATGCGAAGTTTAGCTAAGGATAAAAAATAGTGGAGGTACGTCTCCAACCAGTCTGACTGACTGACCTTATGATGATGGTAAGGTTTTCGGGTGGTAGATATGCGCGACCTATGAAAGTTCAAGCGACAAAATCGAAAAACATCAAAACGGTGCTCATTTTTTTGTTGTTTCTCGTGGGTCAAAAAGAGAATATAGTAATCTACAAAGATGTCGTGGATTAAATTTTGGAGGAGATTCGACGCATGCAATTGGTTTCTATTGCACAACAATACGCCAGCCTATTCTTCAAAACACTCGTGACATGATTTTTCATCAACCGCCCTACTCACCAGATTTGGTTCCGTCAGACTTTTTCTATAAACCGAACTAAAGAATGCGATGAAAGGAGAAGGTTTTAAGCATTTTGAGGTAATTCAAAGAAATGTGACCAGAGTTCTGAGAGCCACTTGTGAAGACGAGTTTTCCAGATCGTTCCAGTGGAACGAGGAGGGAATTATGTTAAAAGCTAAATTAAAATTTTTCTTAACTCTTTTTTTGTTACGCAAAAAAAAACCTTGAAAACCTTGAAAGTTCTTGAACGAACCGTGTATTGTTCATATTTGTTTTTATAAATACGGATGCAATGTTCTAAAAACCTTTTTATTTACAAAAAAGTATTAACTCTACTTAGGAGGTTATTACTTTCAAGAAATAGCACCGCAAAATTTATATGTATGTACATATGACATATAGAAAAAGATTTTATGTTCTCAGATAACAAGCAAAAAAACCATGTTTTGTAACGATAAATTTTATTTACACCGAATGCTTTTTTCACTTTAATTTATTATGTGGGAAATGTAGACGATAACCCAAAATAGATTCCCTCTATGAGTTTGTGAATTTTTGAGTGCTTGACTAACAAACCAACCATAAATTCCGTAAAGCAATTTACGATAAGGCCGTTTTAATTAATGCAGTTCGTTTTGATACTGGTAGATACAATTAGGTATTTACTTTCATATCATGCGAAAAAAACAGAATAAAACATGTTGCAGTTGGAGTAGAATTTTGCATTTTCTGAAAGAACTATTGTCTGTAGAAGAAAACCTAGAAACAATGAGTAAAAAAACGGGTTCAAACGATAGCCCGTGGTGTTGTACTAAATTTGCTAGAATACCTATGTTGAAAATCGATACGTACAATTTTTTATGGAAGTGTAGTCTTTAAACATCGTGATGACTACGGCCCATCAATATTTGTTAACGAAACTTTCATGATAGATTTTATAAATAAGAAGGTAAGGAGTGACGTATCAACACGCAGGATGAGCGCTTGGGGGTGCCAAAATTTGGAAAAATTTCGTTGACTTCAGTGTAGAAAGTTAGTGGAGTGGATGAAACTGAGGGCAATTACCATGGAAACTATGGTTCAACAGAAAGGGAATATTATAATACATAGTTTTCAATGCTCAAACTCAAGTATTTATTATGTAGTCGATTGATGTAGTGCCTTGTTGAATGTTTGACTGGCATTGCGTAATCCAAATTCATGTACGGAAATTCGAACAAACCAAACGGTGTTGTAAGACGCTTGTTTAAAGATATAATTCCAACCAGGCAGTTATAAAGCCGACCCTGATCTTTTACGAATCTAAGCAACCTCTAACCGCTGCACCGCTTACTGTTATTCGGTTATCTCTTTTCGCTTCGTACCTTTGTTCTACTCATGGAGCATTTCCTAACTTAACAAGGGCGTGTTCGAAACGCAGCAAATGACTACAACCCCATGCAGAAACAATCAAGAAAGTACGTCCATTGTCATAGATAATTTACAACAGACTTTGCCAATTTCGACAGTCCCAACTATACAAGAAAAGAAATGCAAAAAATTTTTGATTCTCTCCTTTTAGAGGCTTCTAATGAATGATGTAAACTGGATGTGAATTGTTATCATGATAAAAGTTTCAAACGTGCATTATGTTCGGTTTATTAATATTTTAGTTTAAATAAATTTCACTTAAAAAGACATATGTAGATCTTTAAATAAGATAATAATTAAACACTTGTAGAAAATACCACAAATGGCGCGGTAAACGCCATCTGTAGTACGATGCTACATTTTAGGATTACGTATGCACCAACAAGGTCCATTTAAATATATGTTTATCTACTTGCTGAAACGAATCCCGGCATAGCTAACCTCAACGTGATAGACACATTACCATAATCGAATAAAATAATTCGAATTAGCAAAAATGTAGCATCGTACTACAGATGGCGTTTACCGCGCCATTTGTGGTATTTTCTAAAACGCACTGTTAAGACAGCAGGTAAAAGTTGGTCTGTGTTCTGTCGGAGCTGTCTGCGACGCGCTGATGAGATCCAAAAAGATCGAAATCGCGATCCGCGTCTGGCAGTTTTGACGGAACACAGACCGCTTCGAATTATTTTACACTTTGTTGTGTTGATGGTCGTGAAAATAGGTAAAAACCTTATTTTTCAGAAAATGTGCCTTTGGCAATAGATATTAAGTAACTTCTTGTGTCATCAAATATGCATTATCATTAATGTTGTGAATTTTAAACAACTTCTTACGTAATCATAATTGTTTAGGTAAACGTACGAGTACTAAGCTAAAAATGCAATTTGTGTTAATTTCATACAAATTATGTTTCCACAAATTACAACTTAAAGTGCATTCTAACCGCTGATGATCTTTTTGTCATTTACTTCCTCCGCACAGTTCATGGTAATAGCCAGTTTTAAAATGTAAACATGAATTTTAA